CTTTTCGACTGTTTGACGTGGAAATACGACGGGTTCTGGACAGGGTATGGGATTCAGCTCTCGTTCTGGAACCATGGGCCCTTCTCGGGAATGAGTTCACACATCGGCCGCCTAAAATTACGACGGGTACTGCACGGAGTATGCGATTCGGCTCTCGGTTTGGAGGCTCCGGAAATTTTTGGCCATGAGCTTGCACGCCGGCCGCCTGTGCTAAGGAAGAAGTTGTGTGACGCGAACTTCATCAACAGCCTGAGTTTACTTATCGAATTCTCTCTCGTAATGTTTAAACAAGTGACTAACCCAGCATCAGTTCCAGATGATCATCCAGCAATTTCTTTGAGCACTCAACAGCAGCTGCGGAAGTCAGATTGGATACACCACAAGGAATATCAATGAGAAATGTCAGTTACGTCACAGCCAAACACCTATTTAGAGGGAAATCCATTTTATCTGGTGGGACTCGGGGAAGGTTAAACAAGGCGGTTTGACGAAGCAGGAGGCGGTAGTGTAGTGTGGGAGAAACACCGGATAGTTGGATGGCATCATGGAAGGACAAATTACCCTGGGAGGAGGATCTGGAGAAGTCTAAAGCCACATATCTTTGGGCGGTCATACATCGGCTTTTGAGAGTTAATATCATTACTTTTGGACTCGGGGCAATTCGTTTTCTTGAATCTGGAATTGCTTGCATGTTGAAGGTGACTTTGAGCGACGTCTTTGCACTTGGCCGTTTTTGCAATGTCTTATTATATACGCAACAGCAAAAACTCACCTACAATTAAACCCACCCATCACATAAATTCCCTTCTCTCCTACCCAGTTCACCCATCCATTCATCCCAAGTCTTCCCAGACATGTACACGAACCCCAAGAAACCCATCTCATACAAATTTCTCGGCATATACACGAGCCACACTTCCCCTTACAAACCAAACAGGCGACATCATGACTTCCATAACCACAGTCCCAAGGGTAAATGCCGCTGTGGTGGAACCTGCAACCATTCTTCCCAGCGTATTCCAGGCTGCAGATGCGGGGGACATGTCGTCGGTGCAGGCCTGACTTCTCGGCTCTTCATCCTCCAGCAGAGGGTATCAGCTCCCCTTCCTCTCATCGAGTAAAGCGATCTACAGGTACTCAAAGCTCACCCACACCCACCACCAAACTCCCCTCTACTTATCCAAATCAAACTCGTCCTGCAAATCCTTCAACAGATCTTCACAACCGACACCCACTCATTGCAACCACCTAAAACAGCCAAACAATATGCCCCCACGACTTCAGCTCCCAATAAGAAATGCCGCTGCGGCGGTACCTGCCTAAAGTGCAACCCGCCCTCCCAACGCATACCAGGTTGCAGATGCGCAGGGAACTGTCGCCGCTGCAGACCACAGATTATTCCCCAGAAACCTCGTCCAACAGACATGAAGCTCAACGCTCCCGCCAGCCAAACATCGAAGTTCAAGAAGCCAGGAACCTACCGTTGCGGAGGGACTTGCTTAAATGCAATCCGCCGTCCAAGAAAGTACCTGGATGTAGGTGTGGAGGAACCTGTCGCAGGTGCAAGCCGGAGGTGTTCACGACTCTTCGTCCTCGGAACGGGGTCGGTATGGGGTTTCAGTCTCGCTCTTGAACCACCGTAAATCGTTGAGGATGATGGGCTTGGGAAACCGCTTGTGTCATAAAGTCAACCATCACAACATCAAACTCAAGAAAAGGGTGAGCTCTACTTGATCAAGTATTCTGTTTATGAGTTGACCAAGCTAAAATCAACTTCAGAGAGACCAAGAGATTTATTACATTTGAAAATTGAGAATGAAGCGCTCTCTGAGGATTTGACCAGTGGTGGAGGGTTCTGGCTGAAGGGAGGGTACACTCTGAACAACAAAAGTCAAGAAGCAACAATCATCAATCCACCTTAGGAAGTACATAAATAAGGCATGATGAGGTTGGGAAAGGCGGGAGAAATAATAGAGGGCTTGTTTTCAGGAAGGATCAAGACAGCTGCCGTTATGCGGAGGATTTGGGGGAAACATCGTCACAAATCTCATTTCGGGGGGTTCCGGCATATACATTAGCTTTTTTACAGTAATCAAGAATACTGCTCACGCACGGCCCAAGTCAATTTTTTATTATTTGACGAGGGGTAAAGATGCCCAGAGGAGGTCATATCAGCTCGCAGGCTTCTGGGAATAAAGCTCTCCTGATTTTGACCGGCAGTACGATTCATTCATTTACTACGTTTCGTAGGGTTGGATTGGGGGAGACTGGTTTACCAAAACGATTGATCAAACTGAACCAGGAGGAAAAAAATAGATGGAATCAAAATAAATCATCCATATAGAAAAAGCACAAAAGAACCCAGACACCGAATGAATAAAAATCACTAAAAAACCACTCAAAACTCACACCCCATAAACCCACCCGGCAAATCAATTCCCTTCTCTCCTAGGTAACCAATCCATCCATTCTCCCAAATCTTCCAAAGTTCGACAAATCCAACGCTCATCTGTCTGCCTTACGAACCTCACCCACTTACCAACCACCTAAAAAAGCAAAACAACACTATGGCTGCTCCCAATAGGTCATCTCCCAAGAAGAAGAAATGCCGCTGTAGAGGAACCTGCCTCCGATGCAACCCACCTTCACAGCGAGTTCCAGGTTGTCGCGGCGGGGGAACATGCCGTCGATGCAAACCTCAGACTTTCGATATGAAACACCATACTATCCAAAAGCCTCAGGCCATTAAGAAACAACCTACAACCCCCGAAAAGCCCAGAAAATGTCGTTGCGACGGCACTTGCCGCAAGTGTAAACCACGTTCCACACGAATACCTGGTTGTCGATGCGGAGGGACATGCCGTCGCTGCAGAACCGAAGTATCTTCTGGCCTTCGTCGTCACCAGGAAGTCAAGTCATGCTAGGCTAAAGAAGCGGTTTGAGTCTGGCTCCGATACTGTCCGTCAAAATGAGACAAATCATAAAGAAGCTTCGAGCCAGTACTGGCAAGGCCAGCGAAGGATAACATCCATCATGGAAATGAGTAAGTTGGCTTAAATCAAATCCTGTCTTCTGTAGTGTGGAAAATAACTAACCCCAGCAGATTAGCGGACATTTCTACACTCGGGAGGGGATTAAGTTTGGAGAACCACTTTTCTTAAGAAAAAAAACAGGAAATACAAGGTTGAGACCTACCGTAGCGGTATAATATACCCTGTAGGCTGGGCTCCCTTAAAAGGGTTCAAACTTAAAACAGGCTCCCATCCGGCCGCAACCTCCGGTCCGGCATATACAACCCTAACCCGGTACAGCCAATAGGAAGCACAGTATTCAGATTGTATTACAATACCACAGTAATTTACTCGGTCCCGAAGCCACACCCATTATCTACACCTTCCCAATATCCACACATCCACCTACCTTCCAACCAACCGGTCATCCATCTACCCACCTGCCTTCGGCTTCCACCCACCCAGCCATCCACCTGCCCTGCCTGCCAATTGTATGCCTTTCGCCGTAGGTGTGGCCGTGGATTGATGCATTCGAATGCTCTGGAATGGAAGAAGTGGTTAGTATTTGGCCTGTGTGGTTGTGGGTGCGGGTGCTATACCTGTGCCTCTGTGTGGTGGCCGTTGTGGTGACTGGTTGTGGTGGTTGTGGTGTTGAAGAGGTTGAATGTGGAAGATGGCCAATACTTTGAAGATTCCAGGAATCTAAAGCATTTGTGACGGCTGGTCACCGTAGAAACCATATATATACTGCAATTGAATTGTGAAGTGCTCACTTTACAATTCGACGTTCCTTTTGGAAAGTTGGTCAATTGGTCATTGCAGTGCCAGTCGTCCCGACCGTCACAGCATTGCGGGTGCGTGGGTGTTTTCCATCTGGGAATACCCTCACCTAAGAACCTTGAATGGGCCTTTATAAATATAGAAGGCCATAGTGGGTGGTTCAATTCTAAGGCATTGGTCCACTGTGGTTGGAGATTACTGTGGTTGATTATAGTGGGTGCGGCCGGATGGGGGCCTCAGCCATCTCGGACCCAGGATGCCATCTTACCAGATAGATTTTCCCGCTATGGTAGTTGATATCAGTCTGGATCGGGAAAAAGAAGAACAGGGGATAACAAGCAACGCAGGTCAGGGTCCGGGAACACAAGAGAGAAAATCCATCAAGGCCGCATCCTAACTTACAGCGTAAAGATAGTATATCTCTTGGTGCAAAAGAATTATTTTTATCTCAATGGGACGTAAAGCAAAGTCTGCAGTTGGTCCTGTTGCCATGTTCTATATATATGCATAGGTTTTTGTGCTATCTAATGGAGAGCCTATTCCAAACCTACTTATCTTCATGTAGAATAACTATAAGCGTTTAATCTTGTCACGGCGCCCACTTGTGACATGTCACGTGATGAAGCCGCCCCACGTAGGAATAGTTAGATAAGAAGATAAGAAAGTGGGTCCCTACTCTGTAGTTACCCACAAAGGTCCTGGCTGCAGGCCAGCCTTTGGAATTTTCCTTCCTTTCTTCTTCACTTTGCAATTGACTTTATTTCGCGACTGAACTGACATGACTATTCTGTTGTATTCATCGTATCGTCACATTGTAAAAGAAACGTTTATCACATACATTTAAGGAACATCTTTAACTGATAGTGCATTAGTTCGTAAAGTTCTGTCTGAACGAGTAAAGGAGACTAATATGTGGTCTGTATTTTTTGGTGATAACTGGTTATAGGAGACAAACATGATTCGGATGATGATGGGACAGAATGGGACAGAATGGGGATGGGGGTGATGGCGCAAATAGGTAGTTGTTTGAAGTTATCATGTGAGGTTTTGTGGTGTTGCTTTTATGATGGGATACGATGATGGGAGACGATGATAAAAGATAATGATGAAAGATGTGATCAATCCAATAATAGAGCGCTGGATCGAGATAAACAAATAATGACCATGTATAAAACTGAAGAAAAAAAAAAGAGAAAAAGAGAGAGAAGTTGTCCCCGGTAGGATTCAAACCGACATCTTTCGCTGCCTCAAATCAAATCGCTGGGTAAATATATTAACGCTGGAGAGAAGCACACAAACGCTGACCACTACGCTACGGGGACTGTAGACTTGATTGGAAAGGGAAACCAGAATTTGAAATAAATAGTCCTGGGGCCCTGGGGGCGGAAGAGTGGTTGTGGTGGAGTTTGTGGCGCTTGGTTGTGATGATGTGATAGTTGGGGTCGTCCGGGTTGGATCTTGACTTGTGGAAGTAAGTGAGATAAGGAGCTGGTTGGGTTTGACTGGAATTAAGAGTAGGTCTGTTACAATTCTCGTTAAGGTCGTTGCTAATTTGTTGAGCAGAGACGTGATGGTCAGGCAACTTGTGTCGAAACCTCTGAGATCCTAATCAACAAGAGGGCCGATGGTACATTTCACCGATCAGTGTCCATGACGATCACATAACTTCTTGATCATATTGTCATGGTTGAGGAAGGGTTTGTTGAATCTCTATCAAATCTAAAACATGCTTAGCTCTTCTCCTTATCCTCCTTGAGTGAAACAATACGGTTGAGCACAATTTTATCATCAGTACTATCCGAATCGACCGCAAAGTATGCAACACGCATACCCTGGAATCGAATAGACTCTGGACCACCCTTGCCCAGCTTATCCTCACCGGCGGCCTCAGGCCATGGTGCTCGCCTCTTGACCTCCTCGAAACCGGACTCAATAATAGCGTTGGGATAAATAATCTCGCTATCTGGGTTGATATCGTTCAAGTAGCCACCCTCCGCAGCAGCCGGGTTCTCCGACTTGAACAGCGCGTTGTGAATTCGGACCTCGCATCTCCGGGAGCCGGCACTCTCAGCAGGGGTCCACTGAATGAAGGTCTTGGGCTTCTTCGTCTCGCGATCAAATACAGCACGGATCTCAGTGACCTTGCCGGACTCATCGGTAGTATAAGAAGTAGCCTTGATAGGGAAAGGAGCCTGAAGGAGGCCAACAGTCTTTCCAGGGGCAAGACGGAAGTAGTCCTTGCTATCCACCTCGCGGAAGTCGGAGCGGTCAATGTAGACGGTCTTGGTAAACTTGATCTTGTGGTCGCCCATGGCTGGGTTCTTGGGGGAGAAAGGAACAGTAAGCTCGGTGCCGTCGTACTCATCTGCGTCCTCAATCACAACAGGCACAGGGTCAAGGACCAGCATGAGTCTAGGCACTGTGCGTTCAAGGTAACGGCGAATAGTCTGCTCGAAGCGAGACATCTGAATGATGCTGTTGGAAGTAGTCACGCCCAGTTCGTTGACGAATTCGAGGATGGCTCCTGGAGGGACACCACGGCGGCGAACAGCAATCAATGTATAGAGGCGCGGGTCATCCCAGCCACGTACAAATTTCTTATCAACCAGTTCCTTGAGCTTGCGCTTGCTGAGTACGGAGCCTGAGATGCTGAGGCGGCCGTATTCTCTTTGCATGGGCTGGAACTCGACGAGCTGCTGATTCAGCCATTCGTAAGAAACTCTGCTCTGGACGAACTCGGTTGTGCAGAGTGAGTGTGTGATGCCCTCGAAGCTGTCACAGAGGCAGTGGGTGAAATCGTATGTGGGATAGATTTTCCACTTGTCACCTGTTGCTCTTATCAGCTCTGTGCTCATATTCACGTTATATACCACAGCTCACATACCTGTTCGGTGATGGGGCTTGTCCAGCACACGGTAAGCTGCCAAATCCCACATCTGAGGGTTTCCGTCCTCGATATCCTGCTTCATCCGTAGGAAGGCTTCCCTGGGCTTGTACTTTCCATCTCTCATGTCCCTGAATTTCTGAAGGTTCTCCTCTACACTCTGCTCGGCATGCTTGCAACGGAATCTTGGGCTCTCACCCTTGGAACCACCGCGCTGAGCCTTGATTTGTTCTTCGTCGCAACTGCAGACGTAGGCTTTCTCAAGCTCTATGAGCTTCTCAGCGAGGTCGTAAAGGCGTTGGAAGTGATCGCTGCTGTAAGTGATCTGATAAGGCTCAAAGCCCAACCATCGGACCATCTCCTCGATGGCAGTGAAGTAGATTTCTTCCTCGGCCTCGGGATTTGTATCGTCGAATCGTAGGTAGCATTTGCCGTTGTAGTATCGGGCGAAGCCAAAGTTGACAGCGATTGCCTTTGCGTGACCGATGTGGAGGAAGCCGTTGGGCTCTGGGGGGAATCGAGTAAACACGAGCTCCTCCCCATATTTTTCGGTTCGTTCTCTCTTGACCTCTGCCAGGAACCCAGTCTTGAACATCAAATCAGTGTCGATAACCTCTTCCTCCTTTGGCTTCTTGGCAACGGGAGCGGCAGCGGGAGCAGCTTCCTTGGTGGCCTTGTTATTTTCTTTGGCGGCCTTCTTTGCGCGCTTGGCCAATCTCTTCTTCAGTTCGCCTTTGGAGACCCATTCGCCGGTCTCCTCGTCAAGCTGGAGCTTTGCGCCATTGTCCTGAGGGGCCGCGCCCTCTGAGATTTGGAGTTTGGACGCAGCGTCGGTGACGGCGTCAGCCATGGTTTATTTCTTGCTTTGAGTCGTAGAATCTGGGTAGGAAATGTCGTTGACCTTGGTGACCTAGCGATAGAGGATGATATGTATGGTGGCGGTGGTGACTCAGTCCGAGATACGGGACAAAATTGACGAGGGGCACGAGCGGCAGAGGCACTCTGATAGAGGGGTTCAGTCGCTGGTTCCACTGACAGGGATCTGTCGGTTGTGAGACGTTGCTTAGACAGGGGGTCTGATAAGCATTAATGAGATAAGGATGTGGCGGGGTTATCCAGCAGACGAGCACTCACAAGATTGAAGCTGTATTCTTTTACTGAGACTGCAGAATCCCATAAAAGTGACTGCATATTCCTTTTCATTGAGTGGAGAATGAACTTACAAAGCTACCTTAACAAGGGAGAGAAAATGTTCCAAGAAAGAGAATCCCCAAGAAGTCTGGCCTTCAGAAAGTGGTGTTAGCTCTTTAGCTAGGTAGGGATGTGTCAAAGACAGTTCCAGGAACCAGAATTTCCATTGACATGGCTACGTAATCTTAAAATCCACTGCATGTTTATCATATATTTCGAATTCCGGTTCACCCATTGAGTGAACAACATGGAAGACCTAAAGGGACCAATATGCATTGCATTGCTTGTGCCGCTCTTACCCCGCCATTTGTTTGCGTGTCTGTGTAAGACACTCCCAAAGAAAAAGCACCCCGCATCGCTTGGAGATTATGGGAAGCTTCCACCTCTTCCAGCCTTTTTGCATTTGTCTTTTGTCATTCAAGCCACCTTTTCCACAGCTCCGATAAAATCATAAATCTCTTCTTGCCAGTTTAGAATCAACTTATTACCTCTTCCTCCCATTCTTTCCATCATTCATGATCGGACGCCGAATCGCAAAAATGACAGTCATTCAAGCCGCCGATATTCCCCCCATCTCTCTCCTCTACAAACTTAATAAACTCCAAGCTGCGGTCCCCGGGTCGAAGCCCATTCCGACCATCCTCGGCCCAAACACAATCCCGGAGCCCTCCAAAGCTCTCAACGACCGCGTTGCCGTTCTTCGCGGAGATATCACCACTATTGCCGCCGATGCAATTGTCAACGCCGCCAACCGATCTCTTCTTGGCGGTGGGGGAGTTGACGGTGCCATTCACCGTGCCGCCGGAAGTGGTCTGTATGACGAGTGCAAGACGTTGAACGGTTGCCCGACTGGCAGTGCCAAGATCACCGACGCCTATGCCCTCCATTGCAGAAAGATCATTCACGCCGTTGGTCCCGTTTACGATCCCATTCGCCACGAGAGAAGCGAAGAAAAGTTGATTGGATGCTACAACAGAAGCTTGGAGTTGGCTGTTGAGCATAATTGCCGAACGATTGCCTTTAGTGGAATCAGCACCGGTATATACGGATACCCCAGCCGGGAGGCTGCTCCTGCCGCTCTGAGCGCCGTACGCAAGTTCTTGACCGGAAAAAACGGTAAGAAGATTGACAAGGTGATCTTTGTGACTTTTGAGCGAAAGGACGTCGACGCTTATGATGAGGCCATCCCGTAAGTTCTTACCTGACCACCTTCCACAGCAGTTGCAACTTACTGACTCGTGCTAGGTTGTACTTCCCTCCTGTTGCTGAGGACGCTACAGTTAGATCCGAAGCGAAGGACAATGAAGCAGAGCTGGATGCTAAAGCCGAGACCGTTGCTCACGAGCTGCCAGATGCGCCGACGTCAGATCCTGCCGACTCAGAACACATTGACAAGAAGGTGAAGCACGAGGAACGTTAAGAGACGCTCAGGGGTAGGTTGGTCAGGGAAGGGACTTCAAGGGAATAAACAGGGCTTGTATTCAAGGATATGCGCCGGCGTTATAATGAGCGGGACATGAAAAAAACACAGGGTTCTTTATTATCAACAGAAACAGGCACAGACAACAGACAGGAAACGTCCATGTCGGCGTTAGGAATAGAAATAATAATGAGGATTATTTAGCGCCAGGGTCCGTGGAAACAACTAACAAGCATTCGGATGCTGCGGCGGGAAAGACGAAACTGATTGTTGATTTTCAGCCAACGGAGGGGGGAAAATTCTCTTGGGGTATGAGCTTTTCCGGCAGTTGTTTCCGCATACTACCCAGCAAGATTACTCGAGATGGAAGGAGTCGGCATCTTTGATGGCTATGGCTAGGGTCGTAACTGATTTGGTTGCTGGAGTCAAAGATCCTCATACAGAACCTTCTGCGAAGCTCCTTACGGAGTACAGAACTCCGTTGAACTATAGGTACGACTTGAACGTTACGAATCAACCGTTTCCTTCGTTTGAGGCCAAGTTCCCAGAGGATAATGTTTGGAAGGGAACCAAGTATACCTCTTTGATGAGGTGGAACGTCAATGATTCCTTATACACCATCAACAATACCTTTGGGATAGAAATAACGGGGTATGGAACACTCTCGAATGCTACGCAGCATTTTGCGGCGGAGGATATTGTTCTTCTTTACGACGGATACTGCGCCTCTACTTGCAGCCTTGCTTCCACGTTCTTAAGACACCAGGGGAAAGTAAAGTCTGTTGCTATGGGGGGAAGACCTTCTCATAAGGGGAAGATACAAGGAG